CGTTAAAAGCAGGAGGGGGAGGATGACCTGGGGAGGGGTCGTCGGGGTGGACTTATGGTGTTGTAGCCTCAGCCTTGGTGCGCTCCCTGCACGGGCGAGGGCAGCGCCTGCAGGGTTTTCCTTGTCCCTGTGCTCGGTGAAAAGGCTGGCACGCTGCAGTGGGGCCTCCAAAATGGCCGCATTTTGGGGTGTCTCCTTTGTGTTCCTGGGCAGGTTTAAGTACAGGTTTGAGTACTTTAGCCCTTGCAGCCTGGGAGGACTGGCCCTGCCTCTCCAGAGCACTGGTTCCACTGCAGCATGGTGGCTGGGCCTTCACCCTCACCAGCGTTGGGGCACCGCGTTGTGACCTGTGGTGGCTCAGGACTGGGCTGTTGTGGCCCTGGGGGCTAAGCCTGCTTGTAGGCTCTCTCCTTTCCACAAAGAAAAAGCAGTTCTCAATGGTATTTGCATTCCACTTTATTTTCTCTTCAGAGTACGTCGTGCAGTTGATCCCCAGAAGCTTCTCAAGGGCAGTTAAAGTGAGTCAGGCTGGGGGACCATTTCATGCACTGAGCCTTATTTTCCTCTTTCTGCCCAGCTGAGTCAGCAGGACTGCTTAGTGAAGAATCCGAAGAGGTTTCGGAAGCGGTTCGAAGGAGAAGCAGGAAAGTTTGAGGCAACAAAATGCGCCTTTATTCCGAAGACCTTCAAAACGCCTTCGCGGTACCATTTGTTTGTGGAAGGATTTTGCAAGAATCCTGGCGTCACTCGAATTCTGAAGCTGGTAAGTGCGTGCTGTCTGTGAGACAGATGAAAGGATGCCTTCGTTCTGCGGAGGGAGAGGAAAATATGCAGGAAACCCACAGGAACAACTGGGCAGAGTGAGGTGGCAGGGAGCTGCAGTGCTCCTGGCCGGTGTCCTGGTCAACACCGACTATAAAAACACTTGTTTTTATGTAACAGTTTATTTCAGCAGCTGGAAGACAGCTCGGTTTGTTGGTAGAGCCAAAGTGAACTCCATGGTGAAGGTACAAAGCGCAGGGTTCCCGTGTGGAGGAGCAGGTTGTGCTCCCAGGGGTTTTTGCTGTGGGGTTGTGCCCATGTCCATGCTCTGGGATCTTGCAGTTCAGCTGCAGGTGTGCAAGAAGGTCTGGGGTGCTCAGGGCAGCTGCTGAGTTGGTTTTCTGGTTAAGCAGTGCTCTGGGGCAGCCCCTAAAGCCGGGGCTATGAACACATCTGTTTGGTTTTAGGGAAATCCCACTACATTAGATGTCAGCCCCTGTAAATCCGGCCAATTTATAGAGTGGAATCACATCCTGTGAATGTGATGAGATTGCAGGGGACTCTGTGAGCAGCCTGGAGCTCAAGTTGGGGTGGATTTTGGCCTTGGCTTCTCTCAGCTCTGCAGTTAAGAGACCTGTAGGGTAGCCTCATGCTCTGAGTCACATTTGTGCCCCCAAACCTAAGAAAGGGGAGCTGCACTGAATGCAACAACTTCCACTTCAGGCAGCGTCCTGGGAACTAAGAGAAAACTGCGTTTCCTTTAGAAATTACAACAACGCAACGTGACGCTGAGGAGCGCCTTGCTTCTGCCAGATGATTCAAGCCATTTCACATCGTGAGTATCGCGCCGTGGTGTGCAATTAAAGATACACCCGTCTGCGAGACCTGCGAGCGAGCAGTCACTTCGCTTTGCGGGGCAGCTCTGGCGAGGAGCTGGGACAGGAGGATTCGCCTTCCCCTGCAAGAGTCAGGCCCGTGGGTAAGGGCAGCTTGTGAGGAGCGAATGGGAGGTAATTATGCAAACGAACATGTGAATTACAGCCAGGAGGGTAGCAGCTAGTGATTATCTAACTCTACAAATGGGGATGTGTTAATTGGCCACCAAAAACCTTACATTAAGCTGATTTTATGCCCGAAGCCTCAATTAACGTGGTAAATAACCAGAGCACAGTAAACAAGGGTGTATGAAAAGTCTGTGATTACTGCGATTGTACCGACAACTTCAGTGGAGGAGTTTGTGGCTGACCTCAGAACTGGCAGAGGAGTAAAAATAAACCCCATGTTACTCCTCCTGTTGGTCTGTGCTCTGGAGCAGCCCTGTGTTGTGATGTCTCAGGCTGCCAGTTCTCAGTCGGACACAACACAGAATCTGAGGAGTGGGAAGGGACCTGGAAAGCTCCCCCAGTGCAACCCCTGCCACAGCAGGATCACCAGAGCAGTCACACAGGAACACGGCCAGGGCTTTGGGTGTCTCCACACAAGGAGACTCCACAACCTCTCTGGGCAGCCTGGGCCATGCTCCAGAACCCTCACACTCACAAACTTTGGCCTCATCTTCAGCTTGAACCTCCTGTGCTCCAGCTTGGGACCATTGCCCCTTGTCCTGGCATTGGCCATCCCAGAGCAGAGCCTGGCTCCTTCCTCCTGACACTGCCCTTTCCAAATTTATAAACATTAATGAGGTCAGGATGTGCACAGTTCCACATCCTGGGGCTGCAGGAGTCTGGACCTTGGGAAGGTGCCCTGGGGAGCTTTGCTTCAGGTGGCTTATCCAGGCCATGCGTCACCTGTTTCCAATACATCCTGCAGCCTAGGCAGTCTTCAGGACTTTTCCGTGCTTGCTTGCCATAATTCTCTGACATATTTCATGGCTTTCCTGCTTAAGTAAGACCTTCTATAACGTACACTGTTTAAAACGTGACTTAACAAAATTCCCGACAATACACGTTGCGTTACTTCTGTTTCTGCAGGCATGTGACAGAGTTTATTTGGTACTGTGGAACTTCCCTGTCCCCCAGGAATCCTGCTGACGCTTGCAAAGCTGAGCTGTTCAGCACTAGAGAGCTGTTGTGGGTCCCCTTCTCGCCGTAACCGTAAACAAATGTCCTTGCGTACAAACAGGCGATGAGTCGGGTTGTGCAGGGCTTCCACGCTGAAATTCTGGGAAGCCGCAGGCAATGCGAAGGGTAAGGGCAGTAACTCTGCTCTTCCACCCGCAGGTTGGCAGGTGGCAAGTGAAGGAGCTTTTCTGTTCTGAAAACTGATGGATCTTGTTGGCTGAAGGTGAGAGCAATTCTATCACCTCCCTGGGGAACACTCAACAGGCATTGGGTGCCTCAGCACCCAGTAACTCCTTTCCTCTTCTCCCAGTGCCTCCCACTGAAGGCCTGGTTATACACTGCTGGCTTTCCTAATACGTTATTTACTTCGAGCAGCAGAGATGATGGCTGTATCCTGCCTGTGTGTAGGATATGTATGGGTTTTTACCATAAAAACGGGTAAGAAAAGGTCGGTACGGTTCTGCTGCTTGGTACTAGGTGCATCAGATGAACCTTGTCACTTCTGACTCCTGCAGACACCTACAGGACCTGGCTGTCCTGTCACTGCTGCTGTCACCCTGTCTCTCTCCAGTCTTTTTTCACTGGGAAACCAGTGTCACCAGATGACTGGAAATGTCAGTTTGACAAATCAGCTAGGACCGAAGCTGAAATGTCAGTCCTGGTTTTATTGTTAGTGGTTGAATGTTGGCAGCCTTTCTTCTTCCTCGGCTCCACGGAACGTAAGGACAGGGTGATTTATGGGAGAGAACTGTTTGATTTCCTGCGTGTCACACTCGCTACTGGATTGAGTTTGATAGCTTTCATTTGATTAACACATCTTCCCAAAAGGTATCCCGCCTCAATTTGATGGCTTGGGAGACAGGAAAATCCATCACTTCTCTCCGTGAAAGTTCAGCAGAGTTCAGGCTTGCTCCGAATGATCAAAAGCCTTTCCCAGGTGAGGGTACAGCAAACTGCCTTGGGTGAAGGTGCGCTGAGGTTTGGAGACATGAAGAGCTTCGTGCCAGCTGTGAGGTACTGTACTAGCTCAGGGCTGTCACTCTTTCATTTTCTAGATACTCCTCTTGGTTACTTCAGATGTTTATTTTTTCCTGCAGTTTTTAGTAAGATACCATCGTGCAGTGTTGGATTTAACATCAGGTGGCTGAAGCCTGCAATTACAGACAGGGACGACAATTAATTGGCGCTGGGGCAGAAGAGCACTGTTCTGCATTTGCCTGTTCAGTGTCTGCCTTTGATCCTTGTCTCCGTTTCTCTCCAGACGTTCTCCTCACAAACGTGGCAGTGCAAAAGGCCGTACCTGCTTCTGATCTGGGGAAGGTGAGGGGTATGTGCTGCGTGCAGATCACTGCCCCGCTGCTGGGGCTTTCTGCCCGACGTGAGCTGACCTCATCCACACCACAGACGTGTGCTGAGCCGCTTCACTGTGCTGCCTTCTCTCCTGGCACCCATAAATGTGATTTCCTTGACAGCAGCTTTAGGAGAGAGGCCGGGTGAGCATTCTGCTTTAGCTGTCTGCACGTCTGTATGGCTGATCTTTTTGACTTTAAACCTAATAACTCTCTGGTTAGCACTCCTCAGAGATGTGGATATCTTAGAGCTTAGCCCTCGGTGTCTAAGACCTCAGCGGTACAGCAAGGCTGACATTGCTGCATACAAGTGTCACTGTTAAGCTTCCTCTCTGCAGAGATGACAGCTGAGAGAAAGAAAGAGAGAGAGGGGAAAGAAAATAAATGGGATGTCAGATTCCTTGTGAATTCGAGATGAGGGTCATCGTTTGAGAGTAATGGAGGGTGATGTGCAACTTCCCAATTTATGGGCTGCTCCTTTCTGTAAATCTCCCTGGTCCATAGGGAAAGGAGACTCTTTGCAGTACCCTGATGAACGACAAGATGTTGATTGCTGTTAGAGAGCTTCTGATGGGGACCTGGGGGCCTTTTTTATCCTGTTGCTGTTCAGTTGTCAAGCCTGAGGAGGTTACCTGCATTGTGGGGCTGGTGGCCCCTACCTTCTTCTCTCTGTGTTTTTACTACAGGGTGAGTGCTGAAAAAAATCCTGTGGACTTGGTGTGTGGTCATCTGTTGGTAACGGCTTCGTATCATTGTGTTTGGATGTCTCAGGGGTGCAAGTGGGTGGTTCAGCGGCTCAGACAGCGCTCGACTGCCAAGCGTGGGGCAGGGAGGATGGAAGTTCTGTGTGGATACGGATGATGCTTTCATCCACAGCCTCCAGAGTGCTGAGCAGTGACAAACACTGCTTTGAGCTCTAGGGCTGGGACATCCTGATCAATCTGGATCTGTAAGGGTGTTTAATAAAGATCCAAGGGGTTACAGCATCAGGCTGGCTGCTTTCCCTAGGACAGGGCTGTCTAATGATGCTTCTGTGTGTTGTAGGTCAGTGCTTGCAGCCTGGCTGAGGCTGAGCCAGTCTGGAACTGCAAGTGAAGAAGAGGTTGGAAGTGTTTTACATGAAGGGAGCTGCTGTCTGGAAGGATACAGCTGGTTTTACTCACAGTAGCAGGGTTTATTTGCAGGGTGCAGCACCCTGTGTCTTTGTCTGTAGGATCTCTAGCCTTGTGCTGTGAAACCCTGCCAATTTGGTTATTTCTGGAAAATTCCCCTCCAAGTATCAGCATATCACAAGTACCACAGCACTTGCCACAGCTGGAGGGCTACCATCATGCCTCCTTGTACAGCAGTGCCGTGGCAGCACTGATAAAGCTCCAGCTGGTGCCGTTTGGCTGCCAGCACTAAACGTGACCCCCCGTGCCTGTGATACATCAGCAGACCCCATCCAAAAAAGAGGTTCCTCTCCTTGCGGAGAAAAGGACTCCACGGGAGCTGAGGGCGTTTAAAACAAAACAGCTACAAAAACCCTTCAAAACATCACTTGCCATCTTTTTAGATACAGTTCTTCTCACTGGCTAAGTGAAAAACAGGTATGTGTAAGGTTCAGCTGAAATTCTCAGAATTTTATCTGCCGCATACGCAACCCAAGTATCGCAACCGCAGGAACCCGAGAACGCAACTGCCTTGTCATTACGGGAGCTGAGAAAAACAGAAACAGCAAATAGTACTTCAGAAATGACAGGCAAATAGGATTAATTATTCTCTCAGCCTTAGTCGTGTAAAGTGCAAGCTGTACCATGGGTAAGGAAACTTCCCTTAGATATGATTTATGTTGACGGTGCTCTCCTACGAAATGTCTTCTCTAATTTACTGTTTTAACCCTTCCCTTTAAGGAGACGTGGTAGCTGTGTATCTGCTCCAGCCCCATATCCTGTCAGCTTCGGTCCAGTATTTCCAGTGGTGCCACTGGGGACAGCTTTCTTTCAAATGAGCAAATAAATGGAGCTCAGCTGTGGTCCTGGACAGCTCAAATCTGCACTATTTACTCTGCTCATAGCCTGAAACCAAATTACTGCTCAGGCAGCCTGCACGTAAGGAGCTGGAGGAACTTCAGTTGGTCAGGAAACAAATGAATCGGAATGAAAGTCCTCGATGTTGTCTCAGCTCTCTGATAGCGCTGCCGGGCTGTTTGAACCCCGAGTTGTGCCAGGAAACTGCTCCCAGGAGACATCCACAGTCTGGTGCTGAAAGAAAAGGGTTAATGCTCCTTCTGTGAATTCTCCCCAGCATTCAGTGCTGCAGCTAGACTTTGGGTTTCACTTGTCTGTCTTGCTGGAAGCTACAGGGATATTTTTTTTTTCTTTAGTACCATCGAGAACAGGAATAGAAACTTTGCAATAAGCTCAGAATGTTCTTTGGCTCGGCGCATGGGAAAGAGATTTAGGGTTGGATTTCCTATTGCTTCACACTGCTAGCAGGGTAATGATTTTGTGGAGAGGCTCTTTGCTTAGATGAACCATTGGCAAAACTGCCTGTTTCTCCCTAATTTGCTGTTGTTCTGCCTCCTCAGCTGGCTTCTGGAGATGAATGCCTCACCTTCCCTCACTGCTGCTAGCCAGGATGACCGGGCTCAAGCATCCTCTGCTCAAAGACACACTTCATATTGTGGACAGGGAGGGCAGGCAGGCAAAGATGTTTACTACCTTCTAAGGGTTTTTATTACAATGTTTTGAATAGATGGTCTAGTTCTATGTCTTTCTTGGCAACTGGTCGTAATACTTTAACCTTTATAGTGATTAAATGATGAATTTCCAGAAACAGAGCAAAGTAAGCGCTGGTACTGCCACTTCAGAGCGGGCAAAGGGAGCAGCACGGGGCTGCGAAGGGAGTGGAGGCTGAGTCAGAGCTGGGGCTTGCACAAGGGCTCCTTCAGGGGCCCCGCTGCATTGTGCCTCCCACACAGACCCTTTGGGAGCGCTCTGCTCCCAGCAGCTCCTCACAGCACTTTGTGGTTGTCTTTACAGCTGTGCTGCCCTCGGATATGAACGGTGGAAAGATATCCACTGCTTCCAGCTCTGTCTGAGAGCTTATTCCCGTGCTAATTGTCACTGCTCGGGTACTCAGTGTGTGTATTTGGTGGCGTAGGCTGATGGAGGAGAAGCGCGTTGGGGCTTTGAGCTGATAGGGAAGGACAGGGGAGACTTGGGCACTCCGGTGGGTGAGAGCTTCATGGCAAACACATCCAGGTGCGTACTCATGCAGCGCTGGCAGCGCCCTGCTTGCCTCCCTAAGCTACTGCACATCAGCAAGAGGGGAGCACGCACTCAAGAATAACAGAACAAGGGGCTTACGGGCTTTGGTGGGATCAGGAGACCAAAAGGAGCAAACCTTTCCAACAGATGTAAGCGACCAGGCTGCAGGAGCGCTGCTGGAATCAAGGATAGAAATGTAGCGGGAGTTTTGTTCCTAGTCCTGCTTTGCAAGCGTGAAGTCACGGCAGAGTTCTTCATATGCCAACTTTGCTGCAAAACCCACTCTGCAGTCACTGTGGTGACTGTTTACTGGGCACACTGCAGCAAGTGGTGTATTTGATATCTGGGAGGTAGCACTCTGACTCTGAAGTCGTACCTCCAAGAGGATAACGTGTGCCATGAGCACTCAACTCGGTGTGCCTACAGCCATCTCTGGCATCTCTGACAAACCACAAGTACAGCTTCACCTGGAAGTAGGAGATTACCTCTATGGGAAGGAAAAGTAAGTGATGTGTAACTCCCCTGTCAATGTTTTCACTGCAGGCTGCTACAGGGATGGGGAGAAACAACTGAAGCGGCTTTTTGGCATCAGCATTACCAAACTTGGGATGGGAGAGATCAGCCTGGATGAAGTTCACTCTCTCTTCCTCATACCATGCAGTGGCAGCTCCCACTTTGGACGCTGCTGGCTCAGCACAAGGTGTTTCTGAAGGTTTCCCAGCATGGAAGCTGCTGCAAGCTCAGGTGAGGTTGTCACAATGGCTGACACAAGGGATGCTGGCTTCTCAGCTCTTAGGTCTGAACCCAGTCAGAAAATAAAGGGGCTACACCCGTTCCGCACGGCAAAACAAAGCTTTTAGGGAAGGCAGGCACCTGATCCTCCTCCTGCTACTACTATGGAAACATGGCAGAGCAGAAAACCTGTTGCCATGATACTGTAAAAATAACCCCGCCATCACACTACGGAGCTGTCGCCTGGCTGCGCTCCACAGGTTACACCAGAGCGGCGCAGACACGGGGGCTTGGCGCTGCTCTGCTGCTCGCTTCCACGAGAGAGGCGATCTTCTGGGAAAACCACGGGCAGGACAGCTCGGGTAGTAAATCTGGTGGTGTTTTTCATCAGCGCATCCAGAACTCGAGCCTGGAGCAGGCAGCCTCGCTCCGTGCAGTTGTAACCTTTTGGGTACGTGGTGTCAGCTGCAGGCTTTGCAAACTTGGATCAAGCAATGGCAGTTGGCTTTTTGGATTTAAAGGAGTGGCACCTCAGTTTTAAGGAGTCTGAAACGGGGAGGTTTGGGAACTGTGTAATTCAAAGAGTGTGGAACCAGTGCTGGGCCACCTGGAGGAGGCAGCTCTGACCCTGACCGATGGGGCTGTGTTTAAAATTGTGTGGGTGCAGAAGGGGGGAGAGCGAGGGATCAGGCCCAGCTCAGTGTTAGGCATGAGAGGCTTGGCAGAACGGGTGAGCTGCCTCCAAAGAAAGACAAAGAGCTTTCAAATTCTATCCAGAAACATCTTTACAGAAGTTCACAAAAGAAAGGGCTTGGCAGGACCCAGACACTTTCACAGAAAAGAAATCAAACTCACTGTAATCCCTTCCTAAATATGATTTTCGTAAATCTCCTTATGTTCTTAACTGAGTTGTGCTGGGGCAGCAAGTTCAGACTGAGGAGGGCAGTGCAGAAGGCAAGAAATGTTAACCTCTGAAGAAACCATCACTGGCTCACTCGTCCTTTACTACAAGACAGGCTCAGCGACTGTTCCTGCTCAGCCTTCCTCAGGCTGTTTTATTCTAAGTCTACACGCGTTTCGTGCCTTCCTCTAGATTTGATGTGTTCTTTTGGCCTTACAATTTACCAGCAGAACGCGTTTTCCCAGCGAGACCAAAAGGCTGCTGCCTCCCCATCCCTCCCTACGCATCTCTGAAGAATCCCTGACGCGCTGCAGATGCACAGCTCTGCTTTGTTGTAACGCCACAGGCGCACACAACTCCTCCTCTGTGCTCCGGATTCCCAGTTCCTCCTACTCCTGTTCCCGACACCGCAACGAACCAGCTCTGAAGCCAAACTCCAGAAGC